ACCATCCGCACACCCAACCACGCCGCCCTCACCCCCATCCCCCACCATCCGCACACCCAACCACGCCGCCCTCACCCCCATCCCCCACCATCCGCACACCCAACCACACCGCCCCCGCCCCCCATTCTTTTCAACTGAAGTGTAATGGGCATGGTCTCTATATTTGCTTTAGGGACATGTCGTATACAAACCTGTGTGACTGGTCAGACATTGCAGGACCATTCTGTACATCCCCCTGTCCGTACTGGTTGTAGGCTGTCGATTGTGCAGCTGTTGAGGGAGGTAATGAGGTTGGGGGTGCACCCGATGCTGTCCTTAATGGTCCTACAAAATATAAGAAAGACACATGAGCATTTTAACTCTCCAAACAATAAGGAACTCTATCATCCATAGAATGCCCTTGCTTATTCATGGATTTTTTGCTGTCAGCAAAATACAAAATATATTTTTTTAATATGTACAAGTAAAACTAGAAGATTCTAAGAAACAATTCTCAACTCAGATCAGGCAAATGTGTGTAAAATAGATAAAAATGACTGAAACCATCGTGCAGGTTGATGCCCATTCAGTGAAATGTGAAGAAGAAATCCAGTCATGCAATGAGCCAATTTCCAAAACACAGAAGAATTAGAAGGACACAAACATTTCAATCTTTCTTGATTTGACTAAAACTTAAAATTATTCATTGCTCCCTCAACTGCTCAGAGGGAATACCCCCATACTGATTGAGTTGATCCTGTCCATAACTGAATTTGTTGGGGAAGCTGTATCTCTGACCTAGCAACAGCAAGTGTACGAGGCAGCAAATAAGATGGTTGTGGTAGGAAAAGGGAACATGCGTAAAAGTCCACTGAACCCATCCTGCCATTCTAGGTCTTGGCTGACCATTATCTTAATGCCGTTTTCCCACACTATTTCCATCTCCCTTCAAGTCATTAGTCTCTAGAAACTAATCAATTTCTGTCTTGGACCTGATGAATGATTGAGCTTTTGACTGCTACAAGGCAGTTCACAGATGTCAGCTTTAGGCGAGGACAGAATTGGACTAGTTGAGGGGAGGCAGCAAGATCAGAGTCAAGTTGACTTGTAGATGACGTACAATCAACTTCGATCGTCAATAAACTGATGCCCAGGTTTTATGTTAGATAGAAAGAATGACAACTGACATAGGGCTGATGGTTTTACAGCATCATGGAAATGGAAATCCAATTAAGTTCACAAGTTTCATTCTCCGAAGATACACTGTACAAAGGGTTTAAGAATCTAAAGCTGATGATGCACTATGAAAAATTAATGATGCTGTAGAAACATTGAGAAACTTCACTCATCTCCTGTTGAAATATTAAACAGTGAAATGCCCAGCACCAATAAACTTAACTAAAACAAAACTGAAACTTGAGAAACTTGTTTCGTTCTCCGATGAGGATGATTCGTAAACTGACAAACTTCTCTTACCAAATGAGGCAATTTTATTTACAGAAATTCTTGTACAGAAGCTCCAATTAGCAAAAATTAGTCTTTCCTTCAAAAGTGGTGAAATATACATACTTCAACTTTGAGACACCTGATTTTCAAATGCAACTCCAAACAAAGGTCAAAGATGGAGAAAAGCATGAAGATATGACTTTCCTTTGGCCCTGCTTGTGAAAGGTTTTGTTCAATGCTACGTACTAAATTAGTTATCCATATGATAAAACCTCCGCACAATTGCTTAATTCAGTTGTCAACAAACTGTGACAGCAACCTTGTAGAGAAAGATGAATTTCTGTAATTAGAGACAAATTCAACTTCAGGAGTGGTCATTGCTTTGAAAATGCTTAAGGTTAGTAAATGCTCATTCAAAATTCACATGGACGAAGTGATATCGGCAGTTGCACTACCTCCTGCTATACTGCAAACAACCCTCAAAGAAAATCGCAGCCCTCTAATCTTTTTATTTAATATTAAATCTAATTCTTAATGTTAACAAGAAAAGCAACACTTCATATTCCATTCTAATAAGGATCATAACTGACAAGCCAAAACAACCAATTGCTCAGTGTCTAGTACTGCAGATCAAAACAAAGCAGCAGCAGGAGATAAAACACACAGTACTGGAAAAACTCAGCAAGTCTGGCAGCATCAGCGGAGACAGAAATAGAGTCAACACTTTACATCCAGCAGTGGAATCCTACTGCACTGTCCTTAAAACAGTGGCAGATGTTTCATTATGTAGTGGACAGGGTATGGAGTAAACTGCATGAGTTAAAGACGCAGTTGTGATGGATAACTACTGTGTAAAAAGTAGTGTTTTGATTTAAATAAGATGACATATAATAAACATTTGTTGGAAAACAAAAAAAGACGGGAAAACAAAAAGACACAAAGTGGAATTAGGGAGGCACACAAAAAGAGAGCTGCCAACACAGGTTTTTGAAAGCATATATATGAAAATGAAAGAACAGTCAAAAGAATGGAGGCAAAAATCAGCGAGCCAAGTATGCCTAAAAAGATCAAATATTTCACAGGGTGGCTCAGTGGTTAACACTGTTGCTTCACAGTGCCAGGAACCCAGGTTCAACCCCAGCTTTGGGCAAGTGACTGTGTGGAGTTTGCATATACTTCCTGTGTCTACGTGTGTTTCCTCTGGGTGCTCCAGTTTTCAAACTACTGTCCAAAGATCCGCAGGTTAGGTGGATTGGCCATGATAAACGCTGGGTTACGGGTTTAGGGTAGGAAGCTGGGTCTGGATGAGATGCTGTTTGAAGGTTTTGCAGACTCGAGGGGCTGAATGGCCTCTTTTTGCATTGTAGGGATTCTATGATTCAAATTCGCAGGGGGACGAAAAATGGGCATACCCAAGGCACCCGGTGCAGTCACCCATGAAGGCAAATATTAAGTTAAGTCGACCATTAAGCACGGAGATGGAATCACTCCTATGGTACTGAAGAAGTTTGGAGGCAACACGTACATGCAATAGAAATTTTGGAAGATCTTAGGGAATGGCAAGCGTGCTACCAAACTGCAAACTAATATATGGTACACAACTAGAATAAAGCTGAAAGGAACATAGGAGGTTATTATAAACTAATTACAACTATTTATAAACTAACACATAAATCCGTTGAGGTCAAAAGATGGGCAGATTGATTTGATGATTTTACCACTTCCTTAGGTTTAACCCTCATAACAATTAACACTAAATAAGGGCATTTTTTAAAACATATTGTACTTGGTTCACAACAACCATAAGTTAGGTTCAACAAATCATTTATTAAGAGAGATTGAAGGGATCCACAACCACTTGCGCAGGCAATCTACCAAACTCCCAAAGTCAATACAAACACGAAACACATTCCAAAATGCCTATTTACACACTGCTGCAATTAGCGGAGGCAGTGACAGTGTGGTCATACAATTGGATTAATAATTCAGAACACCAGGCTAATGCACTGGGGACAGAGATTCGAATCTCACTATGACAGCATTCCTGCTAATTGTTTCTCTTCTGCTCAGACCTCCATGGTCCATGTGTGGCAGCAACTTCTGGAAATGGAAGTTGTGCTGCAAGTGGTGTCAGCATGCCTGCCCTCTGTGGGGACCAGCGATTGGAGCAGCGATGCACACATGCAGCTTAGGAGGGAACAATGCACTATAGTAGATGGTGAAATTTGAATTCAATAAAAATCTGGAATTTTGAAAGAAGTTGGCCTAATGGCTACTACGTAACCACAACAACTTGTCATAAAAACCCAACTGGTTCACTGCTGTCCTTTAGGAATGGAAATCTGCCATCTTTACCTGGTTTGGCCTGTGATTACAAACGCTCTGGGCTATTAGGGATGGGCAAAAAATAAGCACTTAGCCAGGGATGATCACATCCCTCGAACGAATAAAAAAAAAAATTAAAGATGGAATACTTGCCAGAGTAATTATAACCACACTCTGTATTACACTGCAATTATATAAATTTTTTTGATTTTCATTCATTCAGTCAGGAACCTACACCTCAAAACCTTGAATGACGGAGGACGATCGGGAACATGCAGCACTGTACTAAATGTAACTACATATCCAATTCTATCCTTCCACATTTGAAGTAGACCAGAATAGGCAGTTAGAAGAACTAAGCAGCAACATCTCAAGTCTGGGAGGATTACTATCTTGAGTACGATGAGAAGTGAGGGAAAGTCTCTACAGACCCGAGTTCCCTCAGTCCATTATACCTCATTGTAATAATGATGTAATATCTTCCCCTTACACTCTTCCAAAATTCATTTTGTCTTCTGAAAAAGATCTTGAGTCATTTCCAAATGCTATGTTATTTTGGTCGATTCTTTACTCTAGTTTATGCTTCATATTGTGTTGTTCGTCTGCTGTTTTGCCAATCTTCTGTAAAGGTTTATCACCCTCAATAAAATATTATTTTTAAACTTAACCCAAACTACCCAATCTGAAAGCATGATATGTTCTTACTCACTGAAACATTCATGATCCTACAGTATATGCCTTGTAAGCAGTACATTGGTCAAAGTAACTGTGGACTGGGATACTTGGTCAGCCATGGGTTTATAATTTCCAGTTCACAGGAAACATAAGGTTATCCTGAAAAAGAAAGACTTGTGTTTCGGGCAGCATATGCCCACAAACTTGTTTTTTTTTAACCACTGCAAATTTGATGGACCAAACGCCATCTTCCATGCTGCAGAACTCTACGGCTCTGTCTTTTTAAGCAGACAGATTTTGTTCAGCAAACACTACGTGAAAAAATAACATGATCTACACCCACCATCCCTAAACCCAAATACAGTGCGGCACGGTGGCTCAGTTGTTAGCACTGCTGCCTCTCTGCCAAGGTCCCAGGTTTGATTCCAGTCTTGGGCAGCCACCTGTGTAGAGATTGCACATTCTCCCCATGTCTGCGTGGGTTTCCCTCATGGTGCTTCGATTTCTTCCCACAGTCCAGTTATGTGCAGGTTTAGGTGGATTGGTGATGTTAAATTGCCTACAGCGTCCAGGGGTGTGAAGACAAGGTGGGTTAGCCATGGGAAATGTAGGGCTGCAGGGATAGGGGAGAGGGTGGGTTTGGGTGCGATGCCTTTCGGTGGGTCAGTGTTGACTCGATGGGCCGAATGACCTGCTTTCACACTGTATGGATTCTATGAAATTGCTGTGTTACTTTGGTCAATTCTTTACTCTAGTTTATGCTTCATATTGTGTTGTTCGTCTGCTGTTTTGTCAATCTTCTGTAAAGGTTTTAAAATCAAATTTTACTGTAGTACAAAGAGAGATCAGCTTCCACTAAAAAGATTGTTTACATGGAAGAAGACTGATTTGTTTTGTTTGAAGCTTTAACGTGTATTTCATTCCAAATCATTTCATACCTCCTTTTGATATTCACCAATTTGCGCGAGAGCCAGACTTGGTCAAGTATATTGCCAGGCTTTCACGTGCAACTCAGAGTAATGGGATTGTACAGGTCAAGGGGAAATTGAACTATGTAGATGAGAACATAGCAGCGTGAACCAAGATGTTTGGAACAATTGTATTTCGTACTCCTAGATGATTATAATACCCACCTTGTGGAACAGCAGTTGGTTGGTAACCTTGAACAGGTCCATTATATGGTCCATATTGAGAGGTTGGAACACCTGCCGTATGCTGACTGTTGTATCCGAACTGTTGGTACCCTTGGTAACCAGGTTGGGGCTGCCCATAAGATGCCATGTGACCCTGTTGATTCATCCTTATTTAACCAAGTTCATCCCCAAACTGGTCTTACCTGAAATTAAAACAATGATAATATTTGTAAACAGAAGATAAAATTTTCATGTCAAACTTTGGTGGCATCCATTATAATAGCTTCTTACATTCTTAGGCAATGAGGAGTTGAACAGAAGCACTTTAAAATCTGCCCGTGAGAAACTTCAAGGGAACGATAGGCTAAACATCAACAGTAAAAGGCCTTGCACAGCAAAGACAAATCTCAAAAGCAGGCCCTTTGGAATTGAAATAAAATGCTCAAATAATGCACAAAGAAGCAATTTTATCTCTGTACCCAGAAATGTACTTTGTCAGTTCTAACTCTGTTCCGACTTAACTTCCTGCCCTATACCCAACTGTCAAAAAGACCATTCCTTTGCATCCCTCGAACATTGCTGTCTGTTAGGCGAGTTAGTGATAGCCTATCTGACCATCGAAACGAGAGAACAAGCCTTCCCCGCTCCTATGAACTTTACTATCAAGAATTTTTTCATTGCCATTCCTACCTCAAACCTTCACAAGTTACAAATCATTTGCAATCTGCACTATGGGCTCCCACTTCTCTTGTCCTCTGCAAACTCCATACATCAAAACTTCCACTTGTAGATCAGTCGTCTTATTCCAACCCACTATGTTGATATTAAACTTTACGCCCCATAGGCAACATTCAATCTTATAATACTAAGTATTCCTTGTTCTTTTATTGATCACATGAGCAGATGTTCAAACCCAGTCTTCTGTTTTGCCACCTTACTCCCCACATTAAAAGATATTAACTCTTAAGACTATGGGCTTGGGTTAAGTGCTATATTCTTCTCTTAACCAAGATTGCAAAAAACATTTCAGCCACCATCTTATTGCTTTCTGTAGAATCTTTTGTGCAAATTAACGTTGGGTTTCTTACATTATTACAATGGTGACCACACTCCAAGAATGTACTTCACTGGTAACAAAGTTCCGAGAAGCATTCAGGAGTTTGTACAAGTTGCTTTACAACAGCAAAACTGAACTGGAAATGAATCTCACTTTTGCTTTCCATTCAATCTGAGCATCCTGTAATCTGACAGGCTCACCCATCTTCACACCAACTGTAGAGAGTCGCAAAAAAATTTTCAATATAGCTCCAAGTCATTTTTAAAATTAGAATGTGAGAAAACTAGCATATAGGCAGGTTACCCCTTAAACCTTCATTCTTACGTACTTTGTAGCCACAAATGGGCAGCCAGTCTGAATATACAAAATCACAAATTTCAAATAACTAAATTAGTTGCAAGGTAGAATGACAAAAATAAAGTCAGTTACATCAATGCTTAATGTCTTAGGACTGAACCTAAAATAAACATCAATATGAAAATTGTAGCATTTCCATGGATACAAGTTGTTAACAATTGACTGGGTTGTTGGACTGTCTCTAAACCAGCCGCAAAATAAGTTCACTGAAAGGCAATACGACACAAAAATCCTGAGCAAAATTGTTCACCACGACAAAGTCGCTGAAGGCATGTCCAACACTAATTGAGATGAGTGAACTTGGGACAGACTGGGAGTTAGGCCATAAAACACAGAAGCACAAATGGTTCATTCAGATCCAGCAAGTCTGTTCTGCCATTAAATGAGATCATGGTTGCTTTAATAATGGTGGCTTAGTGGTTAGCACTGCTGCCTCACAGCACCAGGAACCCGGGTTCAATTCCAGCCTTGGGTGACTGTGTGTGGAGTTCTCCCCATGTCTGTGTGGTTTTCCTCCAAGTCCTCCAGTTTCCTCCTACAGTTCAGAGATGTGCAGGTTAGGTGGATAGGGCATGCTAAATTGCCCCTAGTGTCTAGGGTGGGAAATGCAGGGATGGGGTAGAGGGTAGGTTTGGGTGGGATGCTCTTCAGAGGGTCAGCGTGGACGCGGTGGGCCAAATGGCTCGCTTCCACAGTATAGGGATTCTACAAAAAAAAAATCAGTTCCACCTTCCTGCCATTTCCCCCAACTCTTAATTTCCTTACATTCAAGTCGGATTGGCTATGCTAAATTGCCCGCAGTGTTGAGGGATGTATAGATTAGGTGGGGAGGTGGGTCTGGGTGGGATGCTCTGAGGGTCGGTTGTGGACTTGTTTGGCCGAAGGGCCTGTTTCCACACTGTAGGGATTCTATAAAAATATGTATCTCAGCCTCAAAAATACTTAACTGCCCAGATCTGATAGCCCTCTTTGGTAAAGAAGTCTACAGATGCACAAGCCTCGTAGAAAAAATGCTCTTAATTCTGATTTCTGTCTTAAATTTAAAGTTAACTAATCCATCTCAGGTACTGCAACCAAACCATTTCAGCTAATGCAGGTTATGTGAGCATCAGGTACTTTCTACAGCATTAACAAAGGTGACTGGGACTTGAAGGCAAATACTCCCAACTACTGAGTTTAGCAATGGAGTAAATACCTCTAGGACAGGAATTGAAATTATCTAGTTTTGCTTCAGATCTAAATCAGTTTAAAAGGTTCTGAAGCACAATGTCAAAAAGAGCCGAGAAGCAGTCTCATTGTCATGCTTAATAATTATCCCTCAGCCAACATCACTCAACAGATTACCTGGTCATTCATCCATAGGTTTTACAGGGAGCTGGCTGTGTACAAATTGGCTGCTATCGTTCCTATATGAAACAGTGGCTACACATCTTAATTGACTGTGATATACTTTGAGGTGTCCCGTGACTGTGAAAGGTGTCATTCAAAATACAAGCTGTGAACAAGAAAGTGAACTGTAGAATAAATGGAGAAGAAAAGAACAGCAGCTTCTCATGTTCTCAACATCACTGATCAAAGGACACCATTTGGATTACATTTACCCTCACACAAACAAGTCAGTCACAATATCTCAGTAACAAAGGTACTTGCCATGTAGAAAAGGAACAAATCCACTGCAACAATGCATCACCCTCCAGGTAAATTCTTGAGCTTGCTCTCCATATGGGAAACCAGCCATCAGCTGGCTCAGGGAACAAGCAAGTGGTCTACAAACATCTAACACCATCTCCAATGTGGTTTACATCAATATTGTTAGTCCACTATTAAAACAAAATGGCCTCACAGCCAAACATTTCAGCTGTAATTATAGCACCACAATTGTGAAACAAGGAATATGCCAGTTCACTGCACAGCAAGAGGCCACTATAATATAGGCTAACATCACTGAGTTTGTAATGTAATAACAGACCCACAACAATGTAGTTGACTCTTAACTGCCCTCTGGGCAATTAGGGATGGATAATAAATGCCAGTCCAGCCAGTGACATCCACATCCCTTGAATTACACACAAACTGAGGAGCTCAGCACAAATACTCTTGAAATTGCTCATACTGTTCTCTTCACATTGCTGTTTATAATTTTTGTAAAAGAACAAGCAGTGCAGCCAACAAACATCCAAGAAGTTTTTAAAAAGGTTTCACTGCATAGCACATTGGCTACCAAAATGTTTAGAAATGGAGTCAGGAGATGGCGATCATAAATTGAGGACTTTGGCTGCCCTGTATTCAAGCAGAGGCAGTGCTCAGAACATGAGTCATTCTCTTACTTTATACCCAAGGCTGACGTGAAACTGATTTCCACCATATGAAAGCAGCAATGGTTACCTGCAAGGCACTCAGCTGTTCACTTAGCAGCATAGATGATCACAAAGTGTTTCCAAAATCCTCAAAGTGTTCTGAGCAAACAATCATCTTTAACTTGGGAGCTAATTAAATGCTCTGTTAAGTGCAGACATGATGGGATAATTGACCTCTATGGCTTCTAAGTCTTGTGAGCAAAAAATTGATTTCACGAGTGAAAGGTCACTTTATGCCCAAAATGCTGCTTAATATCTGACTCTATCCATTAATTTGAAGATGAAATCTATATTCACGACTCAGTATGAGCTCCACAAATTTCAAAAGTTACCAAAATCAGGTACTGCTGTACAATGACAATGATTTCGATCACTTCACGTTCTGAGTAGCAATCTTGCAGATGTTTATGATAAAATAATTTGTCAAATTTCCAGGTTGAATTTTATAAGTTACACAGATAAAAAGAAAACTTTATCAATAATGTTCAGAGTGCACAAGCAACCTTAAACTTTTGGCATTACTGCAAGTACATACCAAAGCGAAACTGAACCATAATGTTCAATAGAAACAAACAAGTCAAACTTGTAGCATAATTAAGGATGTTGAAAGTTTGTGATTAGTTGATCAGTGAATTGCAAGCTTCAGAATAACCCTTGTCCTGTGGCGCAGTAAAAGGAGAAAGAACTTGATAACATTATCTAAGATTTAGTCATCAGTTTGAGGATGTCAGAATTTAAGTTAATCCTATCATACTTTCTAAGTTAGATTGGTTTTAATAGATTCACTGCCCAAATGCCGAAACCAGAAACAAATCTTCACCTCAGCTACAAAGACTGGTGTAGGGAGATACTTGGATATTCAACCCATGGATCCTGACAATGTCCATAAACCATCACTGGCCTTTTCAACATGCATACAGCCACAATATAATAGCAATAATTCTGTGATACAGTCTTAGGTTCAAAACCTCAAAATACATAATTCTAGCTTTCATGAATTTAATTTTTTTTTTTAAAATGACTGACGACCACCTTTTGCAGACATGCAGCCGAGATGAGGTTCAGAATTTGATCCCTGTTTGAATAACATTCAAAAATGCTGCAACAAATAAAGAACAATTACTTCTCATTTTTTGCACGCTTAGTTTAGAAAACATTCAATGTTAATAATAAATCATGAAGCTGATCTACAAAGGTTGTAGAGAGAAGCTAGTGATTGTGGTCATTATATGCTGCTAGAAGCCAGACTTGAACTTCATGTGCTTACCAATAACTGTGCAATATAGTGTCAGCAACAATGCCCCACCCCTCATCAGCATACTCTTACGCAATTGCAGAAGGTGCAACACTTGCCCATTTAAGCGCTCCCTCCTCACCATCCCAGGCTCCAAACACACCTTCCGGGTGAAGCAGCGATTTACTTGCACTTCAC